CTCGATAGTTCTTGTTCTGAACACAAGTACGCTTTGACGGCTGGAAAACGCGAGTGCAGCGTAGCGTGGTGCATGAGAGGAGAGCCGACGTGTTCGATGTGCGATGCTCTCGCGCCGGAGTCCCGAAAGCTTGCCGTACCTTTTACCCTGAGACCCCCCCCCCCCCCGTGGAAAGCTTGTCAATCTCTCGCCAATGTACACAAGGCTTAAGCGGTACGTCCACAACTGTGCACAGATATCACCAGAAAACATCATTTTCTTGGGCACATGGGCGACAGCTACAGCAGGCGCCCTTCTTATCTCGGACTCTTCATCACTCGCACAAGCAAGCAAGCGACTTGGTGGCTTGATAACCCAAAAAAAAAGAAGTACCACATATGGGGCTGGTGACATAGTGGCAATGTGGGTGTCCTTCAAACCAGCATCGCCCTGGCCGCCCCATCGACCGGAAAAAACGCTTCGCGGGGGTTTCCGCGTGTCGCGAGCACAGAAACGAAGTATGTACTGGGAGTTTTTCGCGAAGGGGACAATGGGACAGGCACGCTCACAAGTATTTCGACAGCGAAACTACAGTTGCTGTTTCAAAGGTCACAACGCGGCCGTTTCTCGCGACCACGTCACGCATGCGTGCAGATAGTCTATCTACCCAGCCTATGCCCTGGTTACCGTATCCACACCTTGCGAAGCGACCCCTCGTACTGCCTCTGGCCGTCTTCCTCCCACGGCCACTCTTCCAGCCCACTGCGTTCGAATGTAACCGTGGGTGGTTGTCATCGTGTAAAGCGACGAGGGAAAACGTGCATGGAAAGGGGTGAAAAAGATATAGAAGGGTGGCCCAGTCGCAAGCATACCTTTACCTTCGTGAACGGAAATTCAAAGAAAGAGACAGAGTAAAGACATCTGCTTTGATGTGTTTTTTGGCGAGAAACAGTAAGGTATCACATTTTGGTTATTTGGGGAAAAGGGAGGTTTGGAGCAGCTCGCCGCGTGGTGGCAGAGACGGCGTGGCGCAGAAGGCTGAACTCTCCGACGGAAGTCTTACGTGGGCACCAGGTGGGTCAAGCACGTGTAGTCTGACCAGGGGAAAAAATCGTGGTATTCTAGATACTCCTCTTACCGGTCGCCCATAGTTGTGTGGTACTGCCCCGAAAACTCGCTGGCGTCTCTGAGAAACAGCGTAAAAAAGTCTCCCGCCGTAGCAACTCCCAGGACCCGTCCAGACGGCCCCGGCCGCAGACATGCCTGCGGTTCAGCGTGTGGCCCCCCAACGGAAGGTTCGAAACAGGACAAGGAGGGGAAGGACGGTGGGTGGCGGGCCTTCACTTTACAACAGGGTGACCGTTATGGAGCAAGGAGTGGCTGACAAGCCAAGCCTCGCCTACAGCTGTGTAAGCACATACGTGAACTTGAGCACAACCTGCTGTGATGACAGCCGGCCGAGCGCTGCAAGTCTGTACGGTGATGTCGAACGCGCTGCAGGGGAAAACACCGTGCTATAATGACGCGGTGGCGTTTACACTTACCATCACCAAGGGCCGCGTTCTGTGGGGCGCAGCATCTTCTGTGACCCGGGTGATAAAAGTACAGATCATGGGAGGGAGCATCGGTGGGGGTATGGCAACCAGCATGCATATTGTGCTGTAGAAACTACGTACGTACATGAAACAGTATGATAGGAGCACACCTCTGTCTTGCAATCAGCCCAGTCAGAAAATTGTGCGAAAAAGATAGAGAACCTGCGTGTTCATGTCAGTCTGGGAATATCTCGTCTTGACCAAATTTGAGCCGTTGCGTGTGTGTAACCAGTGCCAACGGTAGCGGCGAATGGGTCCGTCTATCAAATCAAAGGGCAGTTGCATCATGTTGAAGGGTGGGGAGTGCACAAATGCGCAACAACTTTTTGAAACGCTTTCCGAACCACTATTGTTTGGTTTGCCGCTTCAGTATTGAAATTCTCTCCCCGCAAAGGTGCAGCAAACGTGAGCCGTTCGGTGGAAGACTCTGTGCTACAACATGCTTTTTCGTAGACCAGCAATGGCACAGCACCACCGAGCGTAGACTATGTGTTCGGACGTGGTTGCATGTGAGTTCTGGACAAGAGGAACGGCAAATAGAGACGGGTTCACTTTACAAACGCTGGTACAAATATTCTGCGGTAGGTTCACAAACTGCGCAATATAGGGGAGCCATGCAAAACGTCCACACCGGAAGCACTAACCCAGAGATACGCAGTTGGGTGCTGCGTTCGTACTGAACAGCAGACGTGTTTGGAAAGGTTTGCGCAAGGCTTCGGGAGTGTTATTGCGCGAGCTCCAAAGGCACGGTGTGATGCAAGAGCACATATGCATACGTAGACACCGCGAAAGATGAGACCACCACACTCCCGCACACGTTCATCGCTACGAGGACGAAAGAGCATTGAGGGGAGAAGCAGCGTGGCGGTTATGTGGGGGGCGTGGTCGTTCGGACTCTGGCGTCACCAAAACAGAGACAACCCCCAAGCAAACAGCAGCAAAGCGTCTGTGTGACCTCTGAGCGCTAAACTTGCAGCCTATTTCCTCCGGCGAAAGCACAAATCAGCAGGAACCAAACAATACGCAACAAGGTTTACCTCTTCGGCTGCCGTTAAGAAAGGCAGTCGCTGCGTGGGGCCGCTCATCTCCAATCCGTCGAACCGCCCTCGCGGTTGTACAGCCTTGTAGCAGTGAGCAGTGACAAACACCGACTCTCACCCAAGTCACGGGGGGGGGAGACGCAATATCATCCCGTGTACCCAACAGAACCACATTTTGAACCAGCGATCTCCGAAAACTCAGAACCATGTAGCAGATCTGCTGCTCTGCTGCTCTGCTGCCCAGCTGCTCTGCCCAGCTCCGCGTGTCATGTGAAGCAGGTGTCCTGTACGAATGCACAATGCAAGAGATGCGTGAGCACCGAGGTTTGCACGGGCTACATACAGAGAACACCCACACGCAGCCGGTTAGCGCGGTCGATGCTACATCACGCATCTAGGTACAATACGCCATATTGCGGACCCGCCGGAGTGTGATACAGGACGCTTGAACAAAACGGCGGTATCTGTCGCGCTGCCGCAACCCCTGATAGCGACCCAGCATATATGTCCGGATGTAGACATAAGAGCACGTCGTATGGATAAAAACACGCATGTCGATACTCCCATCACGGTGTCGCTACTCCCATCGTCTCACAACGGCATGAACAAGAATGGCCAATGTAGCGACCATGAGAGTAGCCTTGCGGCGCACCGTGCCACGGTAAGGCCATCCCGGTGAATGTATCCCTTGCCAAGTAAGCGTAGTGTCTCGTACCTTTCGTACTCCTACAGGCAGAACAGCCAGCATCAATACCGCGACAGAATACCACAACAACAGAAAAAATATCCCCCATTGGCGAGTGGAATATCCGAAGGCAACACATACAGAAAGCCCACACAGTGGAGCAGGTGGACACACGATCCTCCAAATATCACGAGAGCTTTTGTATCATCAGCTACGTACGGTATAGGGACAACTGGGTTTCGGCTGGCGCGCTATCCACCAACTTGCTGCTGCTACACAGACTCCCTTGTATCTCTCAACGGAATAGCAAGGCATAGGCACAGACAGGTCAGCAGCAGTAAGGCTGGGCGGCCATGCATATGCAGAAAGTGTGGACCCTGTAACGAGACACGTGCTTGTGTATCCTTCATGTTTCGAGGGTGACGTCTTCGGAGATGTGAGTTGCTTCTGAATTTGTTCCGCGTGTTTTAGCTTTTTGCCTTTTCCCGCCGCAGAGGGGGGGGGGGGGGGGGTCCACACTACCAAGCAAGCCCCCCCCCGGGCGCTTGATTGCCTTCCCACAACGACAGTACTACTGCACGTGGATGAGAACGGCTCTGGATCTTTGCATCACGTAGAGGTGAGGGGAGTGCTGCATACGTTTGATATCTTGGCCGTTCACTATGGGTGCCGTCTCCGGTCTGCCGGCCACCCACGTACAGACTTAGCGCGGTGTGTCGGGTACTCGCTCGCATCAGGATCCAATTTCGCCGAAATACTCGACATCGTTTGGTGGCTGCGCCATCATCACCAGACACGGCAGCATGCAGTGTGCCTTAATATGGCTGGATCAGGTTCCCTTTGATCGTGTCTTCGTCCTTCTGTGCAGGGCGCTGAGAGTTGGGTCTGCGGCACTGCTGTAGAAAATGTCGGTACATCCCTTTTGCGGTGATGTTGGCTTTTGGATAGCCTGTACTGACAGGAGAGGCAGGCAAACAGAGACGCCGTACCGCTACATAGCGCCCTCACGCGTGAAACAGGTGTAAGGCTTCAGTGCGCTGGAAGAGGGCATTGGTGCCAGAGCCCACCACTGCAGTTATTGGAGGTGGTGTGTTCTCCCTTGGGTGTTTCGTGACACGCCATCCCTCAGCGATGTTAAAACATTCGTGTGCGTAGACTGTATGTGTCTGTAGACCATTCCTGTACCTCCTAGGGGGAAAACGCTGTCCATGATGTTCCACAGCTCAACGTGACCCATCACATTCAGGAGATGCCGCTACGTATAGGATGTCGCACGCTTGTCACAACGACCGAAGCCTTGTGCGGAGAAGGTACCGACATGCACATAGTTATTTAGTGTGATGGAACTACATACCTTGTAGCCTCAAACCGTTTACAAGCGGACTTATTGGCGTGTGTTCTCTTCGGCGGTCGCCAATCGTATCCCATGTGATTCCTCGTTCGTTCACCAACTCGCACAAAGTGCTGTGTAGTATTCTACCGGTACACTACCAGCAGCGGAGCGACATATTCTACACGTCGTGGGGTCGAGCAGGGATAGGGATCGTGTTTGTCGCACTACATACTCATGCTGGTTCCGTTGTGTTGGATGATTCGGTACATGTACTGCTCTAGGAAATGTTGCACATTGTAAAATCACACCCTAGCGTAGATTCTGGGCCATAAAAATTCGGAAGGCTCTCTCCTTTCAGGTGCTATGACAGACGAAGCTGGTGCGGCTGGTATATATCGAATACAGCTGATAGTTGTCAAATGTGTGCAGGACAAGACAAGCGTCCTGAGGCACGCGCACTTCAACGTCTGGCTGACCGGTACAAGGGTCAATATTACAGTAGACGCCAACGAGAGCATTGGCGGACGAACATCGTTTCCCAGCGTAAGTCCCTCACATTGCATCACACAAGACAAGCGTACTCTACTTTCGACTCAGTGTGGACAGCAAACCAGCACGCTCTCTTTTGGCCCACACGCCGTGTAGGGAATACACCAGCATTATAAAAAATAGAAACAAATGATCAAAAACGGTCCACAGTAGTCGAAGTCGTGCACCGTGGAGGATATCCTCCGTGTGACCCCGGAGCTTTGCGATCTTGAGGAAATACCTCCGGAAGTAACACAGCGCGGGTGGGAATGCAGATGGGGTGAAAACAGCAACCCAGCAGTGATCAGCCATGCCCCACCACGACGACAACACGTAGGTATGTTCTACCAGTTCATTTTAGTGGACTGCCGCAATACATGCACTGCTGTGCACGGAGGGTTCGTATTTTTGACCTTCGCCAACGACAAGCAAGCATCACAGATACCTGTTATCGAGGAACAGAGAAATAAAAGAGGGAAGGGAGCAAGTTCGTTGCTCTTGGCTTCGGGTACTCACAGCAGTTAGTTGTTGTTTGATCTCTTGTTCTAGCCTTCTTAGACCAGGTCCGCTCAGCGCCCACTCGGAGAGTGAGGGAGCGGGGCTGGGATTTTGATCTTCCTTCAAGCTACTTCAATACCCCTCAACGTCGCCAAATATCCATATCCAAAGAAAATTCAAAATATCCAATAAGCGCTCATACAACGTTCATGAAACGCTCGTACAATGCAAATACACTAGTTGCTCCATTACATACCTCTGGGGTGCGAATAATAGCATAATTGCTGACTCATTCTACCAATCCATCACCTTTATCTCCCATTCTCTTGTTTTTAAACATTCAGGTGTGAGACGCTCTTTTTTCGATACCAAGCAACATGCGGTGGGCGACGAAGGCATGTTTCTTTTTCCTGGCGTGCTTCGCTTCTCCGCGACCATGCCTGGGATTCAACCTGCCGTTTGGGAAAAATGAAGCAGCTAAGGAGCCCCTTTCTTCCCCGCCTGAGAGGGGCTACAAGGTACGAGCGCTGTGACTTTTTGGGCGAACGTTATAGGCCGTTCTTGCTTTGAGCATGCTCTTTCTCGCCGATCTCGGCCGAGTGTAGAAGGTAGTGTGGCTCAATATATGGAAACTTTCCCCGTATGTTCTCAGACATAACAGACCCTGTCCCAGCGAAACCGCGAAAAAGACAATAAAATGGCTGAAGGTATGGGTAACCACATGGGTTGGCCCTCGAGGCTCAAACGCCTCGAGGAAGACCCCTCGCTGAAAGGTGGAGTTCACGTTGCGCAGATTTGCGTATCGTCGTGCCTTCTTACGCTATCGTGAAGACAGGCACGGCACCTCTGAGCATATCGACGTCTTTGCGGCGCCGTGCAGTGTACTGTTGTTGTTGACGCTCATGTTGTCGTTGTTGTCGAGTACTAGGGGGCTATCAACAGCGTGAGTTCATACTCATTCATGCTCTTGTCGTTGATGAGTGATAATAATATGTCGTGGTCGGAATCCACTGGGAAGGAGGGGGGGGGGGGGGGGGGTGTACTCATAGTCGTGCATGCCGTAGTCGTTTGACCATTGACCTCGCATCCCTACAAAGCCGGGACGGAGCACGCCGGGTTCTCACCGGACCAGGCTCTCACATCACCAAGCGCGAAGCGCCGTGAGGTATTTGGCGAGTCGCATGAAGGGTGAGCTGCATCCTGCTAAGGGTGTTCGGCATCTTGTGCTTACTTCCTTGCGTACGGATGACAGCTACGTATGACTTAATTTATTTTCTGGTGCTTTCACTTCCAGAGACAGTTGTAAGCACTGTGTAACTGCCTCGAGGAAGCTTGACCATTTTAACACAACGTGGTGCGATCATCCCCCGTTGAGCGGAGTGAGGTTTCTCGACCCCGCACAACATGATCTACTCGACCACCATTATGGTTACCGCCAAAAAAAAAAAACAGAGGTAAAAAAAAAAGACGGTAACCTGGTTGCCGAGTTCACGAGGTGAATTGGCTTGTTTTACAACGTCGTTGCCAAGCGACGAAAAC